CAACAGAAGGAAACTGTAGTAGTACGTCACGACGTACATAGACAGCGTGGGGCTCGCGTCCAACCCCAGGGTCGGCGCCGCCGCCGCCGCCGCAGCAGCAGCAGCACCCACCATCGCGGTGCCACTACCGCTCCCACTGGCCCCAGCCGCCGCCGCCGCGGCCGCCGCTGGCGGCGGCAGCGACCCGGAGAGGGGGGACCTGTAAAACCACGACGACACCCGCGATGATATGTACCGCACGTCGTACGTGTCGTGGTATGCGGCCACCTCAAACGCCCAATCCTCTGCTTTGTCCTTACCACCGAAGCGGTACATCATGTACCAGACACACGCGAGCCAGTGGCTTATCAGAAGCATCCCCATAAAGAGCTGTATGATGCGAAAGACTTTGGCATTTTTGAAGCTGTCCAAGAAACGCAGCAGGCGGCCCAGCCGCAGCAGCCGCGGCGCCTTCAGGAAGCCCAGTGCCGCCAGCTGGGCGCTGCTGGCTTCACCATGCGCGCTCTTCAGCGCCCCCGTCCACAGCACAATCGTGTCGAAGGGGATGGTGCCAAACAGGTCGACCCAGAACCAGGCCTTCATGTAGTGAGCGGCAAGGGTGGCCGAATCGCGAACTAGCTCGCCCTGTGTGGACGATGGCAAGGAGGAAGGGGGGGACACGGACAAAAGTCTGTTTCGGTCGGGAACCCAACAAGTCGCCCGAGGGAGGTGAGAGGGTATTTGTCAGAGGGCCCCGGAAGACACAGGACACAAGCGGCGAGAAGAGGTGCCCAGGGGATGGAGCAGCTAGAGTTACTAATGCGCGCCGATGTGTGCCCTCCTTCCCCCTCCTCCGCTACACGCCGCGCCGTGCCCCTGCCCGTGTCGCCCTCTGCCCGGCTCTCTGCTCCGCGCCAAAAGCCCGTGCACGCGTGCTTGCGTCCGATGACTCCCTTCTGTCCGCCTCTCCTGCGGTGCTCCTTCTTTTGCATAAGAACAAGCCACACGCCATCGAGGACAAAGAATATAACTATCTTCCAACACGCACGCGCATCAACACTCTCGCACTCAGGGGTCCCTTGGCCGTGTCCTCCGAGCCCTTTTGACGCCCTCACACCGTCACTAAAATGAACACCACAAGCCGCCCCGCCCCGCCCCGCCCCACTTTGTCCCCAAATCGAACCTCCATCCCGCCACCGCCGCTGCCACCGCCGCCGCCGCCGCACAACCATACGACCTACTTGGTGGTTGTGATACGCCGTACGGAAGTTGACGAGCAGGTCGACCGCAAAGAGTGCAGTAATGACATATCCCAGCACCTGCCACTCCGAGCTGCTTGGCATGCCAAAGCTGACGCTCAGGGGAACTGTAACCGCTGTCCAGACCACCAACGCCATTATTAGGACGTCCCATGCACGCCGCGATATCTCCTCCGGAATGTATATAGGCAACACAGCATCAATCGCGCCCCTCAGGTGAAGGATGCGGTGCATCAGATCGGTGCGTTCAATGTGGTTATTGCTGCACCACACATGGTGTGCCTGGCCTGCTGTTGCCGCTGATGGCGCCACCATCGCCAGGTTCCACCGCCGGCGTAAATGCTGCTGCTGCTGCGGCTGCTGCTGCGGCGGCGGCGGCGGGTATGAGTCCCGCCAGACATGCTGCTCGGCAGCCGACCGCCATGCGGCGGCGCCACCATGCAGCGGCAGCCGTCCCGGGGTGCCAGCAGTGATACTGCCAGACAACCAATTAGCCACCACAGCTGTGGAAGTCCTGGCGTCATACCGCGCGCCACCTCCTGCGCAATGAGGTGATGGCCATTGAGAGTTTTATACAATGCCGGCGGCCGGATGCCTTTGGGGGGTGGGTTCGTGCCATGCGGGTCCGAGCGGGCGGATAGCCTTGCACAATGCTTATATGGTTACCCGCCTTGCATCTTAGCAGCTGGAAATACGTCCCTTGTTTATTCCTGCTGCTTGGGTGCCTGACTATGATTGCGTGTAAAAATTGTGATGTCATCTGTCGTTGCTTGGCTACTAGCATCCGTCCCTGAATTTGCATCATAAGGTGGCATAAAGCACGCAAATTGCCGCCCTCCGCTGCCGGGGTGTCGCACCTGCCCTCGTGAGCAATCTCCGCCGAAGCAGCAGCTTCCTGTCCTCCACAGCCGCAGCCTGCGACGGTGATAGGACATCGCGGAAGCGGTCTTGACGCCAGGAAGAGCTTCAGGTAACTGTCGGATTGATGAGGACCCTAGGGGGCACGATCCAAACCCTAAGGGAGGCGACAATTGCGACATGCCGGAAAATGGAAAAGCGCGGGATGTAGGCCGGTATTGATAGTGCCGGGTTTGTGCGGACTAAGCGAACCGAGATCAAAACCTTGCATACCTGCGGAGGCGGGATCCCCTGCTTCGTGGTATACTGTCCATCTGCTCGCTCCTGTTCTCCAAAAAAGTTGGACTGACGCTTGGCCTCCTCCTCCTGTTCCGTTAAGGTGGGAAAAGAGAAGCTCTAATGATTAAGATGACTTCTGCAGTAACACATGCATCACTGTGTGCAAATCCCACTTAGAGTTTTTCACTGCAAGCGTGGCTTATGCCTGTTGTGCCTCTGGCCGTGTTGACCAAGCCAGTCTGCCCTGGACCCTGCCGCGGTAGAAGAAAATACTCACGAATTCATCAATGGCAGCCTCAAACTGCGCTTGGTGAAGGAAGGCCACCGAAGCAGCCATGTGATGTCGTTGATATCGAGCCCTTTAAAAGGTACCGTTCCATTCCTCCTTGTTGCCACCCGCCATAAAGTTCAATCCCCTAGTTGACTTGACTCTTGTATATGAAAAAACTGTGGAGATTCAGGGACGGCAAGGCGCTGACGTAACTGGCATAAAGATTCCTGCGCTAGAAGTTTTGATGAAAAACATGGTGTAAGATGCACAGATGCACACATGTTGCAGCACGGATGTGTGCTACGGAGGCGGTCTTTGCTAAAATTGCAGCACGCCCTAACACCAAAAGACACATCATGATGAAATCAGCATGATTTCAAAGTTTAAAATAAAGAACATTGACGTCCCCCTGGTGACAGGGTTACAGTTAGTCAGGAAACAGTACAGTACGATCCTGTCGTGACCCAGCAGTTCTATGCGTTGAGCCGTTGGGTTGTGTTCAATAGGGGATTACATCCAGCATATCATAACTTAAACGATTTCGAACTTTACGCAATCTCTCAATTTGGCCGTTAGCGTGCGGGCTTGGATCGACGCATGAAGTTCCATAGCCTGTCCGCGACAGCCTTTCAGCTTGCACTCAGAAAACCCGGCATAGTTGTGCGTAATAAAGACATTTTTCACATTAGCTATCTAACACGGACGGAAAGGTGTTTTGGTGTAACACCAAAACAACAGTTGTAGCTGAATGTACATCTCCTCTCTAATTACCGCTTTTGGAAACGGAGAACTTTAGATGTTGGGAATCTAATTTATACCGCTTTCATAGTGTATCTTCTGGCGATTTGTGTGCTGTTCTCAAGGTGTTCGGTCTCTCTCCAAAGGGTAAGCCCACATTATCGGTCCTTACTCACCTCTGCGTGCAATCCAAAAATCAAAATGCCCTCGCCTCACTCCTGCCTGTAGTACTAGCTCCAGCCCAAATCTAGCCAGCCGCTGAAGGAAATGCCAATATGCTCCATAATGTTTTAAACTGAGTTTGTTAAACCCTTTTTATCATTGGGCAAGCTTTGACGGAATCGTCTCGGGGCATTTCACCTGTAGATAGACACGGCAGTCGTTTTGTGTTCCTACTATCTCATAGGCGCTTCGACAGGAATGCCTCGACGGACGTGCGATAAGCCAAACGTCGCAGAACTTTCACACTAATTGAAACTGCTTTCCTTTTTACAAATAGGAATGGCTGGTCGCAAAATTTCCAGAAGTGCCAAGATCGATTTCCATTGTCGCACTCTTCTGTACGGCTGTCGAGGAAAATGCGCCATACGTGAACACACTTGCACTCAAGAAAAGGCTCCCTCTCCTCACCCCTTTAAAAAATATTCACAACTCTTAGTAAAAGGCCCTGAATTGCATATGCGGCAAACACATATGCCAATACGCGGGCCAAACGACTATACGGAGGCCCCTTCTAGTTACCAATCGGCGTGCGCACACATGCTGATTCAACTTATAAATCCCAACTTATAGCTCCCAGCCTGATGCCCACAAGCGTCTTCTTCCTCAACATTTTTTCACGCGGTGATTACAGCTCACTTCACGAGAGCCACTACCCGCAGGGAGTGAGGATCGGGGTCGCTCCGCAGTCCCACGGATGCGACTGCGACTGCACACGTGCGCACACACGACAGCCAGAAACTCGGCACTCACTCAGATCAGGAAAAAGTACTTGTACGGCAACCTGTACGGCGCGTCGCCTCAACCCGGTCCCGCTTGCTCAAGCCATGCCAATACCCCCATAGAAGCCGCCAGGTCTGAGCCGGTGACCAGCCGCCGGCGAGTCGCTACGAGTCGCCGCAGAAGTGCGGGCTCAGACAGCAGCTCGCGACCGTAGCGGGCCAGGTGCGCGGAGCCCGCTGCCAGCTCCGCCCGCCGCGCCGCGGCGCTGTCGGCGCCGTGGGCCCTCCGCGCCACCCCCGCGGCCTTCAACAGAGAGGGCGGCAGAACGAGTGAGAGTGAGATGGAGTGAGGGAGAGTGAGGGTGAAAGTGAAAGTGAGAGTGAGAGAGAGAGAGTGAGAGAGAGAGGGGGGAGAAAGAGAGAGAACCCATCATCTCTTCATCTGCAAGAAACACACACAAAAAAAATTGAGAATTTGCCCACGTCCCAAGAACGAAAGAAAGAGAGGATGAAGGCAGAAAAGAGTGCACACGTAGAGCGGGGAGCACAAGTCGATAATGCCCCTCTGGTTGAGTTGAAGGGTGTGGAAGCCCCGTACAGGCACAAGGCGCTGCAGGAAGGCCAGGAAAGACATGACCAAGGAAAATCCTGAAGCGGAGGCGGTGTGCATGTGTGTGAGTGTTATTGCGTGTATGTGCGTGTGTGTAAATGGGTGGGCGGGTGAGTATGTGCGGGTGCGAACAAGTGGCTGAAGAAATGGATGAACACGTGCCACTACCGGGTACCCCACGGGGTGCACCGAGGTAGTGCTGAGACCATGAACATGGACATGGACATGGACATGGACATGGACATGGACATGGACATGGACATGGACATGGACATGGACATGGACATGGACATGGACATGGACATGGACATGACCCAATGAGTGTACGTAGGTTAGGAAGAGGTGGTGGTGTAGAAGGTTCGAAAAGGCCGGGAAGTCACGGGGAGTCTCGGAATGGGGAAGAAAGCGGCTGTGTGCGAGTATGTATGTAATGACCTGAGCCATCTGCGTATGTGTCACGGGGAGCTTGAAACAGGTGAGGGGAGATATCGGGGGGTCGGGGATTCCGGGATGCGATGGTGCCGCTGCCGCTGCCGCTGCGTTGCCTGCCGTACCTTGACGGCTGCCGTCACGTGGCTATCGCTGCCGGGTGCTACAGCCTCCAGCACCTCCGCCGCGAGCTGCTGCAGCTGTAGCCGCCGCTCCGGCGTCGTCTGCTGACTCAGCTCTGCCAGGTCGCATATCAGTCGTACAAGGCCGTACACAGACGCCAAGATCACTAGGCGGCCGCGTGGTGGCAGCTCCAGGAAGGTGCACGAATCCTCTACCTGCGGGGCGATCGATCGACAGACAGACAGACAGACATCTGCAAGCATGCGTTTTGACATAAGCGATGATCTTCCTTCCAACAGCCAATCAGTCAGGTAGACGGACAGACAAAAAACAGACAGACAGACAGATGCGCATACATACACACAAGGCCACTCCCCACACCCCCATCTCCTGCACTCCCACTCTGCCACACGCACCTGACCAAGCAATCCCTCCATCCTCGCCAGCAGCGCCGCCTGCTGCTGCCGCGGCCGCGACGCCGCCGTCAACGTCGCGTGCGCCGCCGCTTCCAGCTCCGTAACCAGCTCCCCGTTAATCCGCCGCAACAGCCCGCGATCTGGCGCCACGTCTGTACGGAAACGCCCCCCGCCGAACACCGCGTCCAATACCCCCTGAAGCAGGCCCCCACCGCGGCGGCCCATCAACGCCGCCGCCAACAGCGCATCATCCAAAGCTGCGTCGCTGCTGCCCCTGCTAGCACCGCTACTGCTGCTATTACTGCTGCTACTGCTACTGCTAGGGTCGCTGCTACTGCTGAGGGTTCCTGAGTGGTGTTGGGCTTGCGTTCGGTCTGTCTGCTGCAAATGCAGTTGTGGCTTCGGATTCCGGTTTGTGTTCGGCTGCGGTTGTTCCAGTTCGCGATATCTGCGGGTGGGGAAGTGGTGGTCCTCCAGGGCGCAGCGGGGGCATGTGCACAAGAAGCCGTGGGAGGCCCTCAGTCTCGACCGGCGCTCTACCACGTCCTTAAACACACCTGGCGGGGCGGGGCGGGGCGGGCCGGGGCGACCACCGGCATGAGGACCAGGATTAGAATCAGGGTTGCATGTGTGTGCCGTGTGTATATGTGCTGCACCTTCTGGAGTTGCGTCACTGCGTTAGTAGTAGTAGTAGTAGTAGTTAGTAACGCAAAGGATGAGGTGTGTACGGAATTGATCCGAGCCGTACAAAAAAGACCGGAGGGGACATGAAAGGGGCCGTAGGCAAGGGGGAGGCTGGCAAGTACGTAGGATGGAAAGGCAGGAAGGGGGATGGGCAGCACCGGGCGAGCGGCTCATCACGTGTTTTGGGTTTCAAATTTTCCCCTTTCCTCCCCCATCACCCCTCCCCCATCCTCCCTTCCCCATCACCCCTCCCCCATCCTCCCTTCCCCATCACCCCTCCCCCATCACCACCACCCCTGCAGTATCTCCCCTGCAGTATCTCCCCTGCAGTATCTCCCCTGCAGCATCTCCCCTGCAGCATCTCCCCTGCAGTATTCTGTCCCTATACATTCATGCGGGGTAGTATCCGTCTATCTCTTGGAGTGTCAGCATCACTCGTCCGTCTGTGGTTCGTCTCCCCCCCCCTCATGCCTACTGCACCACCACCACCACCGCCACCCACCGCCACCACCACCGCCACGCAACACCAGTCCCACAGCCCTCCCGCGCCGCCCCCTGCCGCTTCCCGCCTCTTTCACCTGTACCCAAGTACGACACCGTCAGCTCCTCGCCTTCCATCACCGCCCGCCCTGCGCGTGCATACGCCACACCGCCCACCACCAGCAGCGCCGTGTTGGGGCAGCAGCTGTGGTTGAGCAGCGCCACCTCGGGCCACAGCCCCACACAGCTCACGGGAGGGACTTCCAGAAGCTCCTCCAGGACCGGGTCTTCGTACGGTTCGCTGTAGCTGTAGCGCCGTACCAAGTCCGCGACAACGCCGCCGCTGCCGCCGCCGCCGCCGCCATAAGTGGCGGCAGTGGGAGTGGCAGTGGGAGGATGGATGCTGGAGATGGATGGCGAGATGCCGAAGAGCGCTGGCGGCAGGGGGAGGGCTGGCGGGTTGGAGCTCGCAGCGGCGGCGGAGGCGGAGGGTGAGGACGTGGAGGCAGCAGCGGCAGCAGCAGCGGATTTGGGCCTTGATGCCGTCGGCTGCTGCTGCTGCTGCGGTGGCGGCGGCGGCGGTGCTGTAACCAGCTCCGTCGCCGTCTGGACCTTCTGAGCCTCGGCAAGAAGCGACCGGGCGCGATGGAGGAGGAGGAAGAGATCTTCCAGTGCGCCGTCGGGCCGTGCCGAGGTCGCCGGCACCTCTGCCGTTGTAGCCGCCGTGGATTCCGACGCGGGTTGTCCATCCTGTGCAGCCGCTGTAGTGGGAGCGACGTCGCCGCCGCCGCCGCCAGGCTGCTGCCTCGCCACCGCTGCCGGCGGCTGCAGTAGCAGCGGCGGCACAGCTCCGCTAGTGGCGGCGCAGCAATCTCCCAGGAGCAGCAGCCAGCGACGTTCCAGGACTGATAAACGCGGCCAGGCCTGTCGCAGCGCCTCCGCCAACTCGTCGTTGGAGGGCGCCTCCCCGGGAGTGCCGTACAGTACGGCAATGGGCAGGGATACAAGGAGGAGTTCGCCGACGGTGATGTCGCGCGTGGCTCTCCAGCCCAGGCCTTTGCCTGGCGGCGAGGTGTTAGGCGACGTAAGGCGGGTGTGGGACGGGGGGAGATGTAAGGGGACTTGTTAAGCGGGCAGAGCTCTGTGGGTGGAAGGGTGGTGGTGGTGGGGGCCAAACAAGGAGAGGTTTGGGGCGGCGTGCGGGGCCGGATGGCGTGCGGGTGAACAGACCATTCCTTTCATGTTCTTACTGAGACTTTGCAAACAGTAGCAGACCGGACAGGACTGGAAGTATCAAAGAGACACAATAACGTGGTCCAATAGTATATTAATTGTGTCCGTGAGCCGCTTTCGCTTTCGCTTTCGTATCCCGGGCAGCTGGGAGGCAGGCTAACCTGTACAGTCGTACCTGGCACAATCTCCAATTGAACGGGCCCCACTGCTTGCCTATGTTTGTAGGTCTGGCTTGTGTAGAGGCTCATTACGGGCAAAGCCGTGTTCGCCGCAGGGGGGCCTTCTTCCGTCGGGGTATGGGCTGGGGCAGAGTACGCAATTGCGGTTGAGCCCAACTGCTTCCGGGCCGATACAAAAGACCGCCCTCCACGATGGAGAGAAAGGTTATAGGCGCAAGCGAGGAGTGAATGGCTGTGCCTTCGGACGTGAGCGCCGGGCTGCCTCATTTGCGGTATCGAAACACGTTTAGTAACAAACGAGCTTCAATGTACGTCCAAGCAAGAATATTTTGAGCATGTTCACAAAATTCATTCGGTCCATGCTATTTCCTTACTGTTGCGTCAGGCGTGTGCTCTAGGTGTAATTTTTGCGCCGCAAGCCGTACTTGTGCGCCCCGGTCTCGCGGTCTCCTCCAAGGATTAAGCCCAAATCCTTTGTCGATCATTTTCACTTCTTGCAATGCTTTCGCCGTTTGGTCTATTCCTGCAATGAACGTGTGCTTGTTACGATGTGTGTTCAAAAACTAGTTCGCAGCCTGACCAGACCAGTCTTGCCCAAAGCTCCAACCCGCGCATAGGAGTCAACCTTTCCTTCCATATAAGGATGTATAGGCGGGTTGGTACTGTTGAAAACGGCGATGTCCAGCACACTCACGGTCATCACCTACTCACGGAGGAGCACATCAAGAAGCTTTCGGAACATGCCACCCACTGGGCAATAATACAGAGGTTTGAGGACAGTGAAGAGGTGCGATTTGCTGTGGGTTTGCACCAGGTGGTGAGTTTTAGCTTCCCGTACGCGGGCTGGGGAAGATGGCAAGAGGCCAGCTTGTCGGGTGTTACCTTCACCTCTGCATTTGCACCCCACATTCGCGTATCTCAGAACGCATCTAAGCACCTTTGCGTTGCGCAAAACCTGGATCCATGCCGAACCGTCTTCTCAACCTCGTGAAAAACCCGTCCTCACCTGGGCCGCCTTTCACCTGAGCCGTCCTCACCACAGCTTCACCATACCCTACACAACCAACGCGCCACCTGACTCCGCACAGTTTGGACAGCAACCCTACATCCGCCACATGCCTGCGCGCACTTCTCCCAACGTGCGCAGGTCTTCACGTACAACCTGTTCAAGAAGGAAGGGCTCACCAGCCTGTTCCAAAACGGCAAACTCCACCGCGCCACACTTATGGCCGGACTCAAACTCTCTCGCTCCCCTAAGGAGCTGGTGCCTGGCTGCTTCTTCCGCTCCTTAGACTTCCTGCTCCAGTTTGTGGAAGCAGGCTACGTGTACCGAGCGGTTACGGATAAGGAGCTGGCCAAGGGCTTTCCACCGGCAGGTTGGTGCCGACCGCCCGTGGTTTCGGAGCGTGAAGACGCGGAGGCCATGACAGCGGCGGCGCTGGAGGGAGCGAGCCCGGAGGCGCTCGCGCAGGCGCCGGCCACGGACCCAATCCGTCTCTTCTACGCCAGCGGATCTTGGTGCTGCCTCCGGTCGTACAATACGAGCGCCTCGTCAGTGCGCGTCGACGTTGGCGTGTCACCCGCTGAGCTGTACGACTTGTACTGCCAAGGAGCCTTGTCGGAGTATCTGCCGATGGTGGGTATGGTCGAAGATTGCCTGCCAGGCACCACCTACGCACCGGCATGCGTGATGCTGCCGCTAGGCGCGCTGCTGTACATGCACGAGCATGGACGGCCGTACCTGCCGTTGACGCTGAGCGAGCTGCGGGAAGTACGGAGTGGAGGCATCATGTCGATTGCCGTACGCCCTGAGGCACGGCCGATGCGGCTGCCGCCAGGCGTGTGGCCGCGGGTGTACGACGAGCCACAGAGACCGGGTATGGAAGTGCCCGAGGCGCTGGCGGCGACGGGCAGATCTGGGGCCGGCGGCGGCAGCGGCAGCGGCAGCGGCAGGAGCTTGCAGACGAGCCGGCCAGAGCCTGCCGCGCAGTTCCCACCGCCTCAGAGATCGGCAACGGGGGCAGCGAGGGGGGGCCCAAGCAGGCAAGCCGCCGGCGGTTCAGGGGCAGGCGGCGGCAATTCGGCTGCAGCGACGGCGCCACTGCCGCCGTCAGAACCTGAGCCGGATCCGATTCTTGACGACGCTTCGCGGTGGATCATGCCCAAGCCCTTCGATGTCCCGACGACAGTTCCCCCCGTCTCAACTGACGCCACGGAAGCGGGCGGTGCCGGAGGCGGCGGAGGCGCCAACGGCCCCGCGGCTGACGGCAACAGTAGAGCCGACAGCGGCGACGCTGCTGTCACCCCCGCCACGGCCGCCGCGCCTGTGTCGGCAGCGCTGTCCCCTAGTCCCTTCTTGCAGTACAATGCTGGCGTGCAACCGTCGTACGAGACGCCGCCGCTGCGGCTTTTCCTGGGTGACCGCGGTCAGTCGGGCCTTGCAGCGAACTGGTGGTACGTGGACTCCGAAACCAAGGATATCAAGGGGCCGTACAGTCCGGAGGCGATGATGCTGAGCTGCATCACGCCCTGCCGCGAGGTTCATGATGAGGTTCGTCCCGGTCGTGCCCCTCTTGCTTTGTTAATCTGCTATGGCCGGGGCCCGCGCAGAGCTTTGTTTGAACTGGGGGGGAGAAAAGGCTTGATGACACAAGCAGTGTGTCGAGGTCGTTGCGTTGTGCATGTGGCATTTGCGGATATAGCTACCATTGCTACCATATTTCGGTTGGGCTTCCAGTATCTCCAGTATGGTGATGCAGAGGTGTCTCCCTGCCTAGGTTTTCTTATGTGCCCTTCTTTCTAGGGTTTTATAGAGGATAAAAGGATCTGATACATCATGCGAGCACACGATCCGCCTCCCTCCCATCCTGTGATATACAGTACGTAGGTTTACCCCCCGACATATAGCTGCTCCATTCGGTGCTGATCCCTGCCCCCTTCTGTCATGCCCCTTCCTGGCCGCGTTTTGTGTGTTCATGCATACGAACATATGTACATACATACAGACCCCGGTGTGTGGCACGGACGCCGACGTACGGCCGCCGATGCTGCCACCCCGCGCCGCCTTCCTACCCCTGGGGGATTTGCTGCGGGACGTCAGCGAAGGCACCTATGCGCTCGTGAGCCGCGTCGAAATCGTGTCGCCGCTGGCACGCAGCTTTTTGGGCAACCGAGTCCGCCAGCCCAAAGCAGCGCCGTCACCGGCGGCGGCGGCGGCACCTGGGCAGACAGCGCCCGTGGTAATTACGGTGCAGCCGCAGCAGCCGCAGCAGCAGCCGGCAGCCGCAGCGGCGGCGGCGCCTGTGGCGGTGTCGGCGGCGCCGCCACCGGCAGTGCCTATCCAGGTCGTGGCGGCGGCGCCTTCAGCGCTGCCGCCGCAACTGCCGCCACCCCAACCGTCCTTGCCTCTACCGGCTGTACCTCGACAGTCTCAGCAGCAGCAGCAGCAGCCAGAGGCAGCTGTGGCAACAACGTATTCTTCCGTCCCGACGGCGGCCTCCGTACAGAACGCCGTGAAGGGGCTGCCGCTGCCGCACTTCATGGCGACGCGACCCCGGCCGGTTGCACTTCCCGCCTTGGCGGGTGCCGCCGTACCGGCGTACACACTTCCCGGTTCCGTGGTCTACATGCCGCAGTACGGCCATGCCGTACCGTACGGCGGGCAGGCGGTCATGGCGCAGCCCGTGTTTAGCAACGTTGTGATGCAGCATGCCGTGCCCGCACAAGCACCGCCTCAGCTGCCGCAGAAATAGCCAACAAAACCCCGCGGTATCATGGGGGGGAGTAGCTAGGGATGTAGCAGATACAGCGGCAGTAGCAAAAACGTTAGCGAGCGATAGATGCGGTGGTGGCAATAGAAGTGGCAATAGTAACTGGAAGGTGGCCGGGTCAAAGCGACTCCACCGGGGGGGCCCACTAAGTAAGCTGTAAACCCTAGTATTGCACCATGAGAGCTGCAGCACACATCTCGGCAGTAGCTGCTGTAACGGTTACTGCTGCTTGTAGGATGGTGTAAAGATGGGCATGTCATCAACTACGATGATGATGATGATGATGATGATGATGGCAAGAGGATCACCCCAGAGCATCGTGGTCTTTCTGGGGTTTTGACGCTCTTGCACTGCCTGGCGGCAGAGGCACCCGGGGCCCCTTGTGTTGTCCCAAAGCCGTGCCTTCCCCTCTGGCAGCCGACCCCTGCGCCTGCCCGCATGCCTGCCACCCTCGTAAGGCGAATGGAAGGCAAAAGTGCTTCCTCAGGTCGGCCTTTCTTGCCTCTCTCTTCCTGCCCCACCGCCCTTTCCAGACGCTTCTGCTGGTAAGGGGGAAAGGGTGGCTCTGCACCGCCTCCGTACATTGGCGGGTGTACTCATCGTTGTGGTGTGTTTAGCCGGGGAGTAGGGTTGGGGAGTGGGGAGGGAGAGTGGCGGGAGTGGGAAGACGAGGACGCAGCGGTGCTATGTGGGACGAGTATCAAGGCGGTGCAGTGCTAGGTACAGAATGTTAATCAGAGGCGTGGGAGCGGGCGTGGGATTTGAAGAACAGCATCGCCTTTCAGGCGAGACTCAGCCTGTGCCATGTGGGTGACGTGTGGGTGACCTGGACGTTAGGTAGTGTTATGTAGATGGGGGAAAGGGACGGTCAGTCTTCAGCTTAGGGATTGCTTTCGTGAATTCTCTTGAGCCATCGTGGCCTTTCCGTACACAGCAAGCAGATAATTAAGGGCAGAGATAGTGCTGCGTGTTGGAGGTGGCGCACTCGCACATTTGTGGGACGTTTGTGAGTCAAAAACAATCAGTATATATTATCTGTATATGCATGGTGGGCGCGGCTGCTTTTTATCACGAAACAGACCGCAGAAAGGTGTTAACATGTGTTGCTGTTCGACCATCGTCGGCACTTTTGATAGCCGCAACTCCAACAACATTTCACAGCAGCAGGTCAAGCCGGAACTAACGCCGGACCGCCGGCCTTACCGCAGTCCATGACAAACACGTCCGCAGTGTGCCTACTAATACACCATACAGACGTACTTGCATTTGACCATGCATGGCACATCTTCCACCCTGATAGCTGGGCTAAGAAGTCAGTGCCTTTAGCCATCAGAGCCACAGAGCTTTTAGCATAAATTGGATACTATACCACCGAAAGGACATAACCTCTTAACGTCTCGAATAGCTAGCAGCACCACGTTGTATCGTCCTAAGCCGTGGTATATCTACCAAAGAGCACAGGCTACAGCCTATCCCAACCCAGTTGAAAGGTTTTCTCCCTCATCCACCCCGCCGCGCCGTAAAGCTCTCCCCGAATTTCCTTATAAAACCAGAAAGTATGCCTGCCTGGCTGAGAGACTGACTTGACTGACTGACTGACTGACTATGTCTCTGCACGCGCGGCAGCGACGCGGCGAAACCCCCCTCCTGCACACCCCCGCACGAGAGAACCGGGCGTGAGCGACACACGGACTGTTGTGTACCGTACTGCGTGAACTACTTCCCTACGTAGGAAAAGGCGACGCCGCTGCCTCGCCATCTTGACATCTTCCTACTCCTCCTCCTCCACTGCCGCCGCCGCCACCGCTTTTCCGATCTCCCCCACGCCGCGTTCATCACAGGACATACATACATGCATACATACACACATACATACATACATGCAGCTTCTCGTTTTCTCGCGCTTTTCTAGGAGCACGCCACACAGTCGCCTCGAGTTCGCACCTCTGTCGGGTCCCCCCCCACCCACGAAGAAGCATCCGCGTCATCAGGATCACGCCGTCCGGGCTGCCTGTCGGCGTGATGTGTCCGCAACCCGGGGCTCCTCTCTGCCAACCTCACTCTTGTGGCCACTTAGCAGCACCCCATCATGCCCCTGAGCACCCTGAGACTATAAATCCACCAGTAAAACACGGGGGGCCCCACCTCACAGCCCCGGTAGTACAGCAGAACTGTGGGAGCAGCAACAGCAACAGCAGTAGCAGCAGCAGCACCACGCCTGCCACAATACAGAGCCAATAACATTACAGACGGCTACAGCTACCACCACTATCAATCTGAGAATGCAAAAGGAACAACGCCGTCCGAGAGAATTGGCCATCACCTGCGGCCCTTGCCGCCACGACCGTGGCCACCGGGGCGACCACCACCGCCACCACCACCGCTGCCGGCGCCGCTGCTTGCGCCGCTACTTGCGCTCCCGCTCCCGCTGAACCCCGTTCCGCTGGGACCACCACCACCACCACTGCCACCACCACTACCACCGCCACCAGCTGATCCAGTACTGCCGGCCGCCGCCGCCGCGTCTGCTACTGCTGCTGAGCTCGCGCCGCCAGCACCGCCGCCACGCGGCGCAATTGCCGCCGCCTTGCCGGCAGGCCCTGTGAACCAGCTCGCAATCGGCGCTGCCGAGGCCGCAACGGCTTGCTGCTGTGCTGGCTGTGTACCAAGTGATGAGTGCGAGTGGGAGTGGGAGTGCGAGTGAGCGTGCGGGGGCCCGCTGAAGGAGCCCGGCGCCGGAGACGCCTGGGGACCGTGCGGCGGCCCCGCCATCCCTGGAGGCATCATACCGGCACCGCGGGCGCCAGGCATGGCCGCTGCCTGCGCGGGATTGCTGTACATGCCGCCGCCGGGAGGTACCATCATCGGCGGCCTGAAACCGCCGTACGGACCCGCCGGGGCAGTGCCGTACCAGTCGCCGTACGGACCTGCTCCAGCGCCGGGATAGCCAGCGTGGCTGGCGCCGAAGGCGGCGGCGGCGGCAGCATGAGGCCCCATGCCAGGTGAGTACATCACTCCCTGACCATGGCCGTACGGCACCTGCGGCGGCATTCCCACCTGACCAATGCCCATGACGCCAGCACCCATCGGGGTGATGGCGCCTGGACCAGCGGCCCCGTACATCATCGGCCGCGCGCCACTAAGGCCTGGTGTCGGCTGCGTCGGCGTCGGCGGCGTCCCGTCAACACCTGCAACGCCACCGCCATTGCCCGGACGCCCTGCCGTCACCCCGCCCATCGAACCCGCAGCAGCAGCAGCAGCAGCAGCAGCAGCAGGAGGAGGAAGAGGACCACTGACCAGCGGGACCATACCGCCGGGGGCTGAGTTGCCGCCGCCGCCGCCGCCGCCGCCACCAGGCCCTGCGCCCGCGGCGCTACCAGGGCCATCTCCATCAGGCTCCCGACTATTAGCAATATGGTGGTTCTGGAGCATCCGTTGATGGTTCCGCTCATCAACGTCGTCATCAAAGAGAGACGCCGGGAATTCAGGAAGTGGCTCCCGCTTCGCCTTCGCCGCCACCACCGCCGGTAGCGGCTGATGAGGTGCATCAACTACGGCAACGGCGGCGGTCGCAAACGCCAGCGGCCCCGCCGGTGGGCCACACGGTGGCATGAAAATTGACCCCCCCACGGCAGTGCCGACGGGTCCGTTTCCCAGGGCCTCAATCGCCTGCGAGAGCTGAAGCTGCTGTGCCTCCGCCATGGCGGCCCAGGGGTCGGTCCCCGCGTGACCCAACCCGCGCCAGTCTGGTCCGCCGCTGCCGCCGCCATCCATGCCGCCGACCGCGCCGGCGGCACCGCCGGCAGGGCCGCCCTTCGCCGCCACGCCTCCGTCAGCAGCCCACACATCTCCGGCGAACAGCGCCAGGGAGGGACCATGACCTGGCTGCCCGAGCATGCCTGAATCGTAACGTGACAACGTCTGATGAGACGCCGTACGACTGAGGAGGCCACCGGCGGCAGCAGCCGCAGCTGCGGCGACACAGCCGCTTGCGTCCTTGGCTTCGTCTAGGACCGACCCCGCGGCTGCCAATGCGACCTCGCCAGCGCCGCTACCGTCACCGGCGGCACCTGCAGTTGCCGCTAGCGAGCTGCTGCGCTCCATCAGGCTTCCCAGCGCCGCCACCAGTTCACCTGACGGGGCACGAGCCATTGCAGTGGCCACGCCGGTGCCTAGGAACGGCGCTGTGACAACGGGCCCACCGCCCGAGACGATGGCTCCGGGCGGCGCCGCCGCTGCGGCATGAATTGCGCCGGTCGGTACCGAGCCCATAGGGCCCGCCGGCGCAGCGCCCAGGCTCCTGCGGAGGGACCCCGCCGCCGCTGCCGCCGCTGCCGAAGAGTCCATCAGCCCGGGCCCACCTGTCCGCGCCGTCAGCTGCTGAACGTCGACCGGCATGCCGCCTGGCGGCAGCATCGCTGCTGCCGCCATCTCATTGGACTGCGGCCAGATGCCTTCAGCGGCCACCGCGGCGGCGGCGACGCTGCCGCTGCCAGCCGCGTGCAACTGCCCGGCGGCGCCTGTACCGCCAATCCTCAGAGCAGTGACCTGGTTCACCCGCTCACTACCCCCCAGCATGAGCCGGTCGCCTAACGCCCCCACGCCCACGCTTTCCTCGAGGCCTTGGTCCACCACCGACAACACCAGGTCCTCCATCTCTGGGGTGGCCAGGTCAGCGACGGCGGCGGCGACCATCGGCGGCGGCGGCTGCGGCGGCGCCACCAGCGCACCGGCGGTACCGGGCCTGCTAGATCCCGCAGACGCCGTGGCCGCCGCCGCCGAGGCCGCGTGCATAAGGCCTGACAGGCCTGCCGCCGGCTGCGGCTGTGGCACCGTTGCCGCCACCGCTGATGTTAGTACTGTCGAAGCTGGGGAAGGCTTGCCGCTTGGCGGCCGCGGTGCGAAACCTGGCGGCGGTGGCGGCGGACGAACTCCCGATCCTAGCAACTGTGGCAAGTCAGGCAGCGGAGCTGCTGCTGTCTGCATGAGCGTGTGCAGCGACGGCGACTGTTGGAAACTACCCAACGCTGTATTGGTAAGGATAGGAGGCGGCGGCGGCGGCGGAAGCGACGCATTAGCCGGCGGGTTGGGTTCGACCGAGGACGCAGACGGCAAAGCAGCCGTCGACTGCTGTTGCGGCTGCTGCTGCTGCTGCTGCGAACCAGCCACTCCCGCCGCCGCCGCCGCCGTTGCTGCTGCTGCTGCCGGAACCAGCTGCTGCACCTGCGGTTGCGTTTGGGCGGAGCTCAAGCCGCGAGGGCTAAAACTCAGCGCTGCCGGCCGCAGCCCGCTGGTGAAACCCGCAGCTGCCGCCGCCGAGCCAGCACCAGCTCGCCCTGCCGCCGTCGCTGCCGCTGCCGTCCCGCTTCCGGTGCCGCCGCTGGTTGTGGGCGCAGGTGACGACGTGTGGCCGCCAGCGTGCGTACGGCCCGGTAACAAGCTCGCCGGAATCGTCAAGTAAGCCGGGCCCGAACACTCCGCGCCGCCATGCTGCTGCTGCTGCCGGGACCCACCGGAATGCTGCTGCTGCTGATCGGCGCCACGGCAGCGGCTACTGCCGCCGCTAGTGCTACTGCTCGACACCACGGATGCCGAGACCGTGATCACCTTGCCACGCCGCGTCTTAGTAAAGGTGATGACGGCGGGCTCAGCAGGTGCAGTGGCGGGGCCCGGCGGTGGAGGTGGCGGCGGTGGCGGTGGAGCCGCCGGTGCCGCCGCCGTTGGCATGGCCGTCGCCGGCGCCTCAGCAGAATTGGATGACGCCGGCTGCGCTGCTGCCGCCGGCGCCACGACGGCCGTTGGCTGCGCCACGGTCGCTGCCGCTGCCAAGGGTTCCACAGGTCTTGCCCGGAACTTCACCTTGATGGGGCTGATCATCACGGACGCAGCTGCGCCACCGCCGCTAGGCGCGACGCCAGATGAAGCGCTCGTAACAACAATGCCCGTCGTACCATTCACAGGCCTCTGAGTACTGGAACTGTCGGCAGCGCTCACCGCGCCTACGGAGCGCACCGGGGGCCTGTTGTTGTTGTTGTTGGTGGTGGTGGTGGTGGTGATGAAAGTGGTGGTGGTGGTGGTGGGCGAGGGCGAGGGGGGTGGCTGAGCGTTGGCCGCCATCGCGGCTGGCCGTGCTGGCATTGGCGATGATGGCGGCGGCGGCGGCGTCGGTGTGGCCGCCACCTGCTTGTGCGGATCCTCCTTTCCCAGCGCTAAGTCGAGGGAGCCAGAAGCAGCCCCACCAGAGGCAGTCAGCGTTGTCGCCGCCGACGATGGCGCGAGTGGTGCTGTGACGCCCGGCGCGGCGGCTCCCACCGATTGTGTTAGGATCGACGGCAGCGGCGACGGTGGCGGTCGCGATGTCGCTACCGGCAGCGGCGACGGAGGTTCCGCAACCCCTTTCACTGCTGCTGCTGATCTGATGCCGCTTCCAGACGGCTGCTGCGGCTGCTGTGGCTGCTGCAATAGTGCCGCAGCTGCAGCGGTAGCGCTCTCCTCTTTCGCCCCTTCCGTACTCGGCATCGCAGGCGATCCGTGGCCCTGCTCGCTGACCCTGACCTCATCATCCTTCGGAACGCCGTCCTTCGGCCCTGCTGCTGCTGCTGCTGCTGCCGACACCAACGAACCCACGGGCCGGTCACCCTGCTGCTGCTGTGATTGTTGTTGCTGCTGCGGCGGCGGCGGCGACGGTAGCGACATCGGTGGTATCTGCTCGTCCTGCTGCAGCGGCTGTGTGGCAGGTTTGACAGCCGGAACCTCATCCCCACCGGGCACCTGCGGCGAGGATGTAGACGAGGAGGCAGTCGATTCACCGCCGCTAGAGCTAGATGACGGTCCCGACAGGCCCACATCGAAGGTGGTGGTGGCACTGGTACTGCAGTTGCCCAAGCTGCTGCTGCCCGCGGAACGCTTCTCCTCAAGGGTCGTGCCAGTGCTGCTGCTGTTACTGCTGCAGCTAGCTGTTGAGCTGCCGCCGCTGCCGCCACCGCCGCCACCGCCGCTGGCGGAACCTGTGGTGACAGGTGGCCGCACGGCCGCCGACGGCGGCGGCGGCCGCTGTGCTACTGCCGCTGCCGCCGAGCTCCCGCCACTACGCGCAAAAATTGGCAGCACCGGCTTCGGCTCGACGGGGGCTGCTACTGCCGCCGCCGAGGAGCAGCTGCTACTGCCGCCGCTTACCGAGCAGGTGGAGCTCGTGCTGAGCCCCTTCTGCTGACGGGCCCGCTCCCTTTCCCGTGACACCATCTCCCGCAGCCCCGCGCCGGCGTCGACCGCAACCAGCGGCTCCGCCGGCGCCGTCCCTCCCGTCCCGCCACCGCCCTCCCCTCCCCCTTCACTCCCGCCTGCGCTGCTGCCGCTGCCGCCGCCAGTACCCGTCGCCCCCGCCCCCGCCGCCGCCGCTGCCTCTCTCCCGCCACCGGCCTCCCCTTTGTCCCGATCTGATGCAGGCTGCCGTCCCGCCGCCTCACCCCGCCTCGCCTCCTTCTTGCTAAGCCTCCCTTCCTTCTCCCGCTCTCGCTCCCGTGCCGATCCCCCTCCCCCCCCTCCCCCTTTCCCTCCGGTCGGGCTCCGAGAAGACCCGCCGCTGCCGTTCCCACAACCCCCTCCCCCCCCTCCTCCTCCGCCTCCACCCCCACCACTGCCCGCCCCAGCCTTCTTGTTGATATGCTGCAGCAACAGTCCAGCAATCGCGGCGCTTCCCTTGTCCAAGGCCGCATGGAACGCCGAGCCATCCGCCGCGTTCTTCAGATCAAACACGGCGTTCTGCGACAGCAAGTACTCCACTATCGCGCCGTGGCCGTGCCGGATCGCCAGGGCCAGCGGCGAGTTCCCGCCAATAGTCGTCAGCCCGGAGACATCAAGCTGCTGCTGTTTGCGCTTGGCCTTCTTGGACCCCAGGTGCCCTTCCGCCTGCTTCTTGGCCTGCGCATCTAGCGCCTCCTGGGAGACGTACTTGATGGTGTGCAGGTTGAGTGGCGCGCCCGCGTTGACTAGCAGCCGCGTGACTTCCAGGAAGCCCGAGCAGCCGGCCTGGTGCAGCGGCAGCAGCCCCTCGAAGTCGGGTACGTCCAGGTGGGCGCCCTTGGAGCCCAGCCAAGCAGCCTCCGCCAGGCGGTTGTAGCGAATGGCCTGATGGAGCGCCGTACGGCCGTCGTAGTCCTGTGGTCCGAGGTAGGTTGGAAAGGGGGGGGGGAGGATGAAGGGGGTACACCGGTACGGGTATGTGTGCGGGTGTTGTTGTTGTTGGGCGGATATGAAGAGGGGGGTTGTGTGCGTGTGTTTATGTGGAGAGCGCATGTGTGCATGTGTGTGTATCTGTGGGGGTGCGTGTGGTGAGGGGTCCGTTGCGGCAGCACAAGGGACCGGACGCGCTGGGTCAGAAAGCACGCGGCGTCTCACACCTTGCTGCCCTCCTCCTCCTCCTCCTCCTCCACCTGCTCCTCCTCCACCTCTTCATCATCATCCCCACCCAAGGTCAATTCTTCGGCCCCGGGGACGCCTCCCAGAGACGTCCCGAACAGCCCTTAATGACCCCGACCTAGACCCCCAAAGCCCCCAGGTCTAAAATCTTATATCAGATTTCAAATCCCCGACAGTGGGCAAATTTCACTTCCCCCTCCCCCCACCAGCCAACCCACGGGCCCCAGCCCTATAGTGCGGGTCCGGGTTGTCTACCTGCCCGTCCAGCAGCGCCCCGTGTTTGAGCAGCAGCTCCATCACCTCGATGCAGTGGGCCCCACCAGCCTGCACCGCGCGAACCAGCGCCACGCAGCCAATCTGCTCGCGAACCTGGTGTGCGTGCGCAGCAGCAGCAGCAGGGTGGAAGGGGGGGGGGCCCGGCAGAGGGAGCAGACAGGGCATCATCATCATCATCATCAGCAGCAGCAGCAGCAAGAGGGGCGGAAACAAAACACACCTACAACTACGTGACTACGAAGACGATGGAATGAAATTACAGCTGCAGAAGTTCAAAAGTTCGCAATCTCCTCTCTCCCTCTCCCTCCCTCTCCCTCTCCCTCCCTCTCTCTCCCTGTCGCCCCTTCCCTCTTACCCCGCCAGCCCGCTGCGACCTCGTTGAGCTCATCTTCACCCCAGGGCGCCCACACGGAGAGCACCTCCCCGGCATTCCCCCACCCCCACATCAATCTACCACTCATCACACCACCAACCACCACACCACTGCCCCGGCCACTGCCACCCACCAGTCTGCTGGCCTCCGTCTCCGGCGCCCGTATCTCCAACAAGCTGTTGCAGCTCCGACAGGGGCAACCCAGGGCCGGGTAGCGCTGAGTGCGCTTCAGCATCTGACACATGCGCTGGTAGGCGGACTAGCAGAGGACAGCACAGGAAGCAGCAGAACGGTGGCGGGCGAGCGGGCAGACCGGGCGGGGGGGGGGAGGGGCCACCATATGACAGAATTATGACTAAAGAAGGAGGAGGAGGAGGAGGAGGACGTCGTCAAAAAAGGCAAATCTCATTCAAAGAAGTGGTGGGGGCGGCAAAACTACCAAAACCCCACTTCAAGTTCATCTACTTGAGTTGGAAAGATGAGGCGGCGAGGTGGCAAGATAGTCCTCTTCTTCTCCCGCTGTCGGCCCTCAACAAGGCGTAGAAGGAAAGGACTTATCGTAGCCATCCATGATGGGACACCTGGGGGGCAGCTTGCTGTCCACCACATCGATTTTTTTCCCAACACCGCCACTGTGTTCCCAGCCCCCTGTTGCTCCCCCATCCCCGCCCCAGCGCCACACCTGAAACCCACGCTGCATCTCCCCAAACCGCGGATCGCCTTCCAGCAGCGCCGCCACCACCGCCGGCGGCTTCGCATGATCGAGCGCGTAGTCGTAGGCTGTGTAGCCGTCCGCGTCAGGCAGCCAGGGGTTGGCGCCCGCCGCGAGCAGCACCCGCAGCGTCTCCGCGTGGCCCTTGCGAGCCGCGTGGGGGCAGGCCGAGTACCCCGTCCCTGCCTGGTCCTGGCAGGGGGCCCGGAATGGGAGAGGGAGGAGAGCGACATACAGGAAGTTAGGAGAGGCTGAGACGCAGGAAAAGGAACGGATTAATGGCAAGGGAAGAGCAGGGCAGGGCAGGGCAGGGCAGGGCAAGGCGCCAAACAAAGCGTCAGCGAGAAGAGAGAGAGAGAGAGAGAGAGAGAGAGAGAGAGAGAAAGAGACAGACGAATCGCACGCGTGGGCGCGAGGTGGGGTTATGTTATTTTTTTATCAGCTTTACAGCGGTGTTTTATTCTCGCGTGGGAGGGAAAGGGAGGGCGCTCATTTCGACCACATCTCGACACCCACGACTACTGCTGCCACTGCCCACCACGCCGTTCCGGGCAAGGGGACCCTTTTCCAGTCCCCAACGGCCGCCACCACTGAATCCGCATCCACACGCATCCATACACATCCACACGCAACTCCTGCAACTACCTATCAGCTTCCATTGGCGGTTCTCTTACTCACTCCCTTCTTCCCTCTTCCTCCTTCTTCCCTTCCCTTCACGGGGGCAGTAAGCCCATAAACATACACACATACATGCACGCACACACGCACACGCACACACCCGCCCGCCCCCTCCCCTTTCCCAGCGCACACATGCCGCACCACACACCGGTTGCCCCCGGGTCCCCACCTTGGCCCTGCTGCCCTCCTTGGGCGGCAGATCTGCCGCAGTGGCCCCCGCAGCCAGCAGCAACTCCACAAGGCCCACCAGGTTGTTCTCCACCGCGTGCCATAACGGCGGGTCGCTCGCGTAATCCAGCTGGTTCGGGTCGCAACCGCCGCAGGCCCCGCAAGTCAGGCTGATGCGGCAAGTAGTAGTAGTGCCACTTCCGCCGCTGCTGCTACTGCTGCTAGTGCTGGCACTGGCGGCTCTGCCGCCGCCCGACGGAGAGCTGTAGCTGCCGCTGCCGTTAATACCACCCTGGCGGCCGTTGTCGTTACTACTGCTACTGGTAGTGCTTGTGGCGGGGGTTGTTGTGGTGGTTGTGTTATCACAATTGACTCTACGGCAGCTCCCGGACCCGCTCCCCCCGGATGAAGCCCTGCTACTGCTACTGCTACCACTGTGTCCTGATCCTCCTCCAGAAGCCTCGCTGCCCCGCTGCGGGCCGTTCATCACACCAGATGTAGCGGCATTACTGTTATCATTAACAGAAGCAGCAGCAGCAGCGGCAGTCGCAACAACAACGTGCCCAGTCGCATCTGCTGCTTCCAAGCCCGCACCCCCACCCCCACCCGCACCCGCGGAGGGAGGAGACCCAAGTCCCGGTTCTTGAGCTGATCCGCTGATACCGCAAGGCCCACTACTGCCACCAGAAGAACCACCGCGCGCTGCCCCTCCTGGCCCTCCTGCCCCTCCTGGCCCTCCTGACCGCGCTTGCTGCTGGTGCAGCCCAGGCGACCCCACAGCTCCCTTTCCTCCTTGCTGCTCTTGCCAACGCTGTTGCTGCTGCTGCTGCTGTTGATGTACTGCCTGTGGGAGGCTGCCTTCCAACCCCACGGGGCCCCCCCGCAGCAACAGCTTCACCAGCTCGACATGGCCGTTGGCCACGGCCGCATGGAGGGGGTGCTTGCCCCACTCCTCGGGCCCTATGCTGGTGGACAGCTCCGCGCCCTGGTCCAACAGATCCAGAACCTGGGCGCAGGATCCCGCCAAAATGGCGTCCCACAGCCGGCCCTGGAGCTCCTGCAGATTCAGAAACATGATGTAACGTGTAACGTTATGATGACGCGTCAAGAGACTTACCAAGGTGTGAAGCCTTTTATGAAAAGCGTGTGGTGGTAATGAAAGAGTCGATGTGTTTTTAATAAGATGTGCGGGCTAGGGGTGAATTTTGGCAGTCGAGGGAGGCGCCTGACTGGAGGTGTACGCGACAGAGCAGGGCAAGCCGCAACGCAGGCAGTAGGATTAGATGAGTGGATTGGACATTTGGACACTTAAATGTTTATAATGCATGTATATACACATATACATGTGTACATACACGTATACTCTTCTCACTTCGTTGGCGTTGCGTCGGTAAACAACGCAGCACAACAAAGCACGGGCCGAAAGCGAGAGGGGTACGCCGATCACCGCAAATGCGGGTGTGGCTTGCTCTGCTGGTGGGACAGCAGTCTGGATATCCGCGAAACGGCGACGTGGCATCGAGCCAAGGACGGTGCCACCGGTGATGGGAGTTACAAGGGGCACGCAAGGGCCGTCCGAGGGCTGACGTCTGTCTCGTCCAGGAATTGAATTACATCCGTTCCTCCTCCTCCTCCTCCTCTTCCTACTACTACTACCCCCGCACTAGGTATGGTCGTGAAGCGCAAGCGCAAGCGTGATCATGCACGGGTATGGGTATCGGCCACAGGCCACATATGTGTGCCATATGTCGACCCTCCCTTTCCCGCCATGTCGTGTAATGAGCTGAGCCTTTCGGCCCCACCCACCCCCCTCTCTCTTTTGTTCTTGTGAACCCTTAAGTTTTCACCCCAAACGAACTTCCGCAACCTTCCCTTTCCGTGATTCCTCCTCCTCCGTATGTATGTATGTCGGTGCTCGCAGGTACGCATTTCCAAAGGTTACACGCCTTCCTCCCTCTTTTCCCCTCCTTCAGAACCTTTCCTCTCGAGAGTGTACTCGCCATCCCTCACGCACCCGCGCCTCCCACAGCCCAAATTGGCTTTATGAACTGAGGCTAGCTGCTTAAATCACATTCCCCCAGCTGTGTCAGCTTTGCTATGAATAAGATGCAACGACGGACGGAAAGCCCTTCCCGCGTGAAGTCTTTTTTTTGATATTTTTCCTTTTCGATATTTAGGACCCGTAAAGCCTCACCTGCCGGCTGTACGCCAGAATTGTGTCACCATCCGCCAGCGCCTTGCTTGTGGCGGTATCGCCCTGCTGGACTTGCTTGTACGTGTACGAATATAAAAAGCCCGTCTGCTCGTAATCGAGGCCCCGCCAGGCACAGAATGTCTTAATTAGGACTTCCATGGGGGTGCTGATGTCGTGGCGGAAGATCGGAAACGTCTTGTAGCCATATTTCCAGTCCGAAAAGTAAAATTTAATGAAGCGCAGGCTCTTGGCCTGGTCTGGCTTGCCAGCCGCCGCCCAATGCTGCTTGCAGGCGGCTTTGTAGCAGTAACAGAAGAGCTGCTCGCCGGTCTTCAGGCCGATGCTTGCGGGTGAGGCGTCCAGGTCGAGAGCTATGCCTCCGTGATAGAGGTCAGCGAATCCGGTTTCCTCGCCTAGCTGCTTGCAGAACGCCTTAACGACGTCTGAGAGAGGGTGGTAGGTGGATGCCGTGATCGATTTGCTGTTACCAGCCTGGTCTTTCAACGTCAACTCAATTGTCGGGGCCTGTGCGTGTGGTGAAGGACGTGTGTCCATTTTAAGGAGGGGTAGAGCTGTGAGCGGAGGGGGCACTTAAGAAATGGGAGTAGCAGCGCGCCGACGCCGAGCGGTGTAGACGGCTACTAGAGACTGAGAGACGACGTGTGCAAAGGGCGTTGGGAAGCTGCCCGTGCCATGTGGCGGGTGCCCCTGCCGTTCTGTTCTGTGCGTCGGCACAGGTTTCGGCCGTGGACCGTGGGGCCGAGCGCTTTGCATGCTGCTGACCATCCATCCCTACGCACCTCTTTCAGGTGAATCAAGTCCAGCATGCTTTTGTCTGCCAGCCGGTAGTCCTCAACACATTTATGCGTGAGGGCCACTTTGTTTTTGACGACCAGGATCACCTGCGTAGCATTGCATTCATGTCCACCGTCTGCGCTTTGCCGGTGGCCGCCAACTTACTCGGCTGGGAGTCTCCATACCGCTTCCCCCTACGACATTAGCACGGTACCTGTGCGGGGTCCAGCTTGAAAAACTGTACGCTGCTGTCAAACACCTGGCTCATGAGGGTCCTGCAGCAGACCGGTGTAATTACAAAACAGCAAGGGAGACCACATCAGGAACGGACCTGGGCCTGTATGGGTGATATATTTACTTTGCTGCAAAGAAGGATTTTACGTCAACCAGTGCCCACAAATTGGTGCACCGCGCTCACCGCTTGAAAACGGTATATGACACAGCTCGCTTCTCGCCCCCCACACTGCACTGGACTGTGATGGTGAATTTGACCCCATCGTCCGACTTGGCAGCGCCGTTCGAGGAAGTCGCCATTAGTGTGCACGAAGAGCGCAGCAGCCCTCAAGCTACCAAAATGGCTGATATCAAAGTTGCGAATCTGTATGATATACGTACTACTGGCAGGCTGCTGTGAAGTATTCACTGGAGCCGGCTTGCGTCTAGAAAGCCGTCTACCACCCCGCCTCCACGCCAGTAAGGGATACAGCTGCATAGGAGCCCTGAGGCACTAATTCTTGCAACTTCTTCTTCTGCATTTACGATGTGCGCCACAAACGGTGGCGCACCAAAGGTACTCCTTCCCTACAAAGCCGCTTCAATTGCACTGGGGGCATGAGAAGACATATACATAGACGCTACCGTCCTATTTCCAAGCGTGAACGCAGAATTCAGCTTCCTCACTTTAGGGTACGGCAGTTGACATCTTTTCCTTCTTAAAACGAAATCCATTTTCAACATAATTGCCACAAGGCCTGCAAGCGTTGTCGTTGAACCTTTTTTGACCTTATCGTTTCCTTTGCATGTCGTGTCAAAGCACGACAGCGAGTTGGCAGTTGGTCCTTCGCGTAACGGCGCACTCAACGCCGCGGTGCAACTGTTACAGGTAAAAACACCGGTCACTTCAGTTTTGCGCCGCTAAGATGATGAAGGGAGCGTCCCGTCGATATGGCTGGAACCTGGAAACGAACCGCGGGCCACCTGAAATCTGTCTGCGGACGCCCTTGCTATTGTTTGTAAACGCATCACAAGGCATCTAACTGTGATTTAAATTCTTGTGACTCCGAGCACAATGCATTACCCGTTTCACGCATACTTACACACGACGTCATGATACAGACAGTCGTTGACATGCCGCGTAATGCAAGCTTGTAATACGGCGGAAAAGCAGGTGCTTAGATTTGCAGAGATCCTACCGTACATGTGCATCTGTGGCTCCGAAAGTTCGTCCACAAGCAAAATCCTTGAGTCCAATGTTTCGCACAAGCCTTTATGACGTCGACGGAAACCTGTCGTGCACAGCGCTGCAATCCAGCGCGGCAGGCGCATATGCACACCACCAGCGTTTTTTCAAGAACCCTTGTGATACCCACATATTCGTGGTTTTTGGAAAACGATGCCTTCTTTCGGCTCTGCGATATAAAAATTCCCAATTTATTCTGCTGTGCGACGAAACGGTTTAATCCAAACCGACAAATCAGCGGGCACAAATGCCACGAATGTCCGAGAAACGGGAAGGACGCCGCACGGCATCGCCCACGTGGCACGATCCAGTCCTGGAGTGGCTCCGCCGGCATTGCACCGAGAACACTCCCCCCGCTTCCAAGCCGCCGCCGCAACAGTCGACGTCAGACAGCAGATCCTCCGCATCAACTGTCGTACTATCTGCACGCCGCAGCAGCCGTAAGGCTAGCCCTGTGCCTCCGCCCCAGCGACAGGCGGCCGCCGCCGCCGCCGCCGCCGCCTACGGAACCGGCTCCGTCGGCGCCCCCGAATCAGCCGCTGCTCCCCGTTACGGCACCGGCGACGAGCCTGTGGTAAGAAACCTGCGGACCCCGCCAGCTCCCTCCGGGAGCCGGGAACTGAAATCAGCTGATTCAAAAGACCACTTGGTAGTGGCGGGGGCGGCAATGACGGACGACCAACGGCATGAGGGGCTTACGATGTGCACTGACCCACGGGTCGGACCGCCAAGGGCCAACAGCCCTGTCTCTGCGCTGACGCCCTTCCGAAGCGGTCCGCCGGTAAATCGTACTCGGCACCAGCACGGCGGCGGCTACTCGTCGACTTCCTCCGTGGCTGTCGGCAGTGGACCCGCGGGCATCGAGGCGTACGACACTTCAATGGAGTCGAGCGCGCAGAGCATGGTGCTGCTTTGCCTTCGCGGCAGCGACGACATAACGCCATCGTTAGTCAATGCGGAGGATACTGGCGCTGCGAGCGTCGAAGCCGGCTTTAAATTACCGGCGGGTCTCGACGGGCAGCCGCCGCAGCCGCCGCAGCTGCCACTGCCGCCGCTGCTGCGGCCTTTCGTTACGCCACGCGCTACAGACGTTTGGGCGGACCATCGGTGTATACTTTCGTACAGCGGCGGCGGCGGCGGCGGCGGATGCGGTGACGGTTACTGCGGCGGCGACGGTGATACCAATTCCGGCCACCCATGGAGCGGTGGCGGTGGCGGCGGCAGCGGAGTTCGTAACTCGCAGTCCATGATAGAAGATAACATCGGTGACGACGGCAGCGGCGGCATCATGTGCCGGGGGTGTCTGCCGACGCAGCCGGTGGCAGCCTCTGCGGGGAGTCCTGGCGGCGGCGGCAGCAGCAGCGGCAGCGGCGGTGATCTTCCCGGCGCTGCTGAGGACATCACAGCGTCGGCGGTGCCAGGTCGCGCCGGCGGTGTACGGCCGACGGCCGTCAGGACGAGCACCGCCGCGAGCAGCACCGGACCGCATCTTCCGCCGTCGCTGCGTTACAAGGCCCTCACTTCCTGCAGGTCATTCAGTATCAAGGTGCACCAGTGTGGAGGCTGTGTCAGGATGTGTCTGCCGTACCTGCCGTACCTGCCGTACCTGTTGTACCAGGTTCCTGGGGGGGTTCCGGAAGCGTCTAGAAGCCGAATGGTGACGGTAATGTCTGGGCTTGGCCTGGCAATGCAATCCGATGAATGCCAAGTAACCTAATGTCAAGAAGAGCTTCCGGAGGTTTATGCAGGCAATATCTCCTCAAAAACGAGATGAAAAAATATCTTGTCTTTGTAAATATACATATATAATACATATATATATATATATGTATACATATATATATGTGTATGTATATGTATACATAATATTTTTTTTATTCGCAAACATTGTAATACTTTGTGAACACTGCCCCAACACGCGCTGCACAACTAGGGGTTCAATGGAGATGGGGGCGATGTCTTAGGGAGGAAGTTGCGTGGACGTCCAAAGGGTGTTGCCAGTCAAAAAACTCTCTCAAATAGTATCTGCTGGAGAGAAGAGAAGGGGGAAAATGCCGCCACCCCCCGCGCCGTCGACAGCCGAATATTCCGCCGCCCGCCCTGAGCATCCCGATGTCGTACAACCCTCTCCGTCGGTGCGCAGGTTCTAAACCCTCCGGGGAACACCCCGGAGGAGTACGGCGCCCGCTTGGCCGCCGCCATAGGGCCCTTGATCTTTCCCGCTGACCCGCGGCGGCGGTACGGCAGCGTGCAGCAGCAGCAACCGCAGACAATTGTTCAACGGCAGCAACTGCAACCGCAACAGCAACCGCAACCGCAACAACAGGCACAGCCGCACTGTTGCGGCGTGCCGTGCGCCAGGTACGGAATATTGAATCAGTCAACATTTGCGGCGGCATCCGCCGTCGTAGAGCCCGCCGCCGCCGCCACCGCCGCCATTAGCACTGCCAGTGACACCGGCAACATCGCCGGCGCCGCGCCGCCAGCCCCTTCTTACACAAACTCAGTGGTCAGTCCGACCGGCACTGAACCATCTCTGCTGCGTCCGACTTCTCAGGGTTTCGGAGCTGGCTTTTCCAAGGAGGCTACTGCGCCTTCGGCCGCCGCCGCCGCCGCCGCCACCACCACGGCCACAGCTGCTACAACCACAGGTGCTCGTTTCAACACGACACTAAAGACGCCTTTCAGCATCTCGCCGCCAAGCAGCTGCCGTACAGGTGGAATGGCGGTCGTACGGGGCTGCGTGCAGCTCATTTCCTGGGTACGACAATTGGACGGAACGCTGACGCAGCAGCCGCTAGCGGCGTTGGTACCGGGGCGAGAAGTGGAGGCAGCGGCGCTAGCGGCGGCGATGGGCATGGACGAGGCGGCTGTAGCTCATTTGCTTCAGCTACAGCTACAGCTACAGCTGGAGCATCAAGCGCGACAGCTGCAGCATCGTCAGGATACGGCAACGGTGCTTCGGGAGGCCGCCCTCACGGCGCCTGGGATGGGAGCGGTGACGGCACCGTCATCGTCATCATCGGCGGCGGCGGCGGCGGCGATGCAGTGGCCGTCAGCCCTCGGCAACCTGTACGGCGACACATCAAGTACGGCACCTGCGGACCTGCGAGAGCACAGTGGCGAGAGCGCCTCCGCCAGCCTGTACGACACCGGCAGCGAAACGAACAGGGATCTGCCGCTCGGAGCGGCCGCGCCTGCAGCGGCGGCGGCGCCGCCGCCGGCAGCAGCATCTGCGCAGGGCCCGTACGGCACCAGCTACAGGCCACGACTCCTGGATCAGTTCAACGCCGGGTTCCAGGTGCTCGTACATCACTTGCCTGACGCGGCTGCCTTGGGCACCTGGCATATTCAAGACTTTGACGGCCGCATCACAGCCTTCCACAACACTGAGGTATTACACAATCCCCCGGTCACACGGCTATTACCGAACCTGCCGCCGCCGCAGCAGCAGGAGCAGCAGCAGCAGTGGCCATCAGAGCAGGCTGCCGCAGCGGCGGATCCAGGAATCATCGTACCGCAGTACGGCAGCTGCGGCGGCGGCAATTGTAATGCCGTGCCGACAGCTGCCGACGGTGGCGGTGGCGGTGGCGGCTTTACCGTAGAGTGCCTATGGGCGCCGTGTGTGGCGGTGGCGCCGTACGGGAGCGCACCCGTACTGTTGGAGATGCGGATTACGTCTCCAGTGGCGCAGGCCTTCCGGTTGTTGCTGGTGCAGCATGGGGCGCTCCTCGCAGACTTCACGTGCGATCTGGGCCCTGGTGCGAGGGTGGTGCTGCTGCCGGTGCCGCCGCAACCGCGGCCAGTGACCATGCAGGTGGTCTTCGCCCCCGCCGCTGGTGGCGGTGGCAGTAGCGGCGGCAGTAGCGGCGGCGGCGACGTCAGCATGGCATCGGCGCTGCTGTACGACATTGCAACGCTGCTGGCGGCACCGCCGGCCGTGGCGGAGGAGCTGGCGGGGCTAAGTCAGTTGATCCAGATGGAGTACGGCAAGGAGTACGGCGGCAGTGGCGGCGGGCAGTGGCGGGAGCAAAACGTGCCATTGGTGTCTGACTTGGCGTTTTTAATGGAGCGTGCGGAAATGGCGGAGGTGGCGGAAGTGGCGGGTGGCTTAGGTGACGGCGCCGCCGCCGCCGGCGGCAGCGGCCTCGCCGGCTTGCCACCTGACGGCGCCGTCGCCGTCCTTCACGTAGCGAACCATCTGTTCAAGCACCTAACGGAACAGAAGGACATGCCCGCTACAACCGCCTTTATGGTTGACGTAGCCCGCAAAGCCTTGATGCCGTACATCATGACGGGAGTGCTGGCGCCTCCTGCGCCGCCTCCGTACGCAGCAGCGGCTGGCGCAGCGCTGGCGCCGGCGCCGCCACTCCCTGGGTCTGCATGTTGTCCCGCTGCTCCGCCAACCTCACCAGCAGCGTCTGCGCAATTTGATGTCGGACCGCCGGAGCCTTGGGACTCGGAGCGGGAGCAAGAGGCCTCCGCCTCCGCCACCGCCGCCTCTGCCGCCTCCGCCGCCTCCGCCGACCAGCGTCCCCACCAGGAGCTGCTGGAGCACCCGTCAGGCGGTGCCGGTCCCGCTACTGGCGGCGAATGCCAATCCCCGTTCTCTACTCGGGAGGTTGATTGGAAACTGCTGGTCCAGGAACTGCGTGAGCTGTGCGGCGGCGGCGGCGGCGGCAGCGGCGGCGGCGACGATTGCGGCAACGGCGGCGGCGGTGATTGCGGCAACGGCAGTGGACTGTCCGGCAACATGCTGGAGATTTCGGAGCCGCTATCTCCTATTATGGAGGCGTTGACGCGCCGTTCCAGCGACTTGCAAGATATCGGCGCGATTTGCTCGGAAAGGAACTCTGTAGCTGTCAGCGCCAAGTGTAGGGCGGCGGCAACGGGGAAGTCGCCAACGTCGAAGTTTGTCGGCGGCGCCGTGGTGGTGCCGGGCAGGATTGGATCTGTGCAGGGTACGTACGGCAGCTGTACGGCGGCCACTGAGATGTCGATGACGATGACGTGCGGGCCCTTATCGCGGCGTGCGATTTCCATGCTGTCAACGACAATGCCGCCACAGCCGCAGGTGGCAGCGGCGGCGGCAGTCAGCCCAACAGGAGACCCTCCGGAGGTCGCCTTTACCACCTGCCAAGACGACACCAATGTACGACGGGGCCGTCGGACCTTAGAGCAAGATTTAGATGATGGGTCAAGTTGCATAGACGCAGGCTTAGCTGTTGCCGCCAACCGCAGCTGTAGCTATCTCGTTCACGGCGGCGATGGTTGCAGCGAGGGCGGTGGCGGTGACGGCGGTGACGGCGGCGGCGAGGACGAACATACGGCACCCCGGTCACACCTTCCAGGGCCTTCCGCCGCCGCAACCCCAGCCCCAATCGCAATCCCAGACGAGCGCGCACCGCTCTTGGCGTGTGTGCTGGGCTTCCCTGAGCCACGCGTCGAAGCGGTGTACGGCAGGTTCCACGACCGTTGCGCGTTGCGGGGCGACATCGCCGGGTTGCAGGTCAGCCATGCAGCCATGGTGGTGCTGATGTGCGGTGCCAGGTTCGCGGCCACGGCGGCGGCAGTTTGCTGCTTTTTCTTCTTGAAAGGCGAAATGGTGAGTGGTGGCTCGCAGTGTGGGTGACTCCTTCCCGAGGCGCCCCTTCCGGTTCGATGTACTGTGCCACGCCGCCTCGTGGCCCTTTTCCGCCTTCCCAAGGGCCTTCCTCTCTGTTCCATTTACTACCCGCCGCTGCCGCGCCCCTTTCTCGTCAACACTTTGTCACATCATTTTAGCGTCATGTCCGCTTTACCGTCTTTCCCTTAGTTCACATCTCGTTGTAGGATATGCGCGTATTCAGTTTTGGAGTCTGGTCTCGTTTCAGTTTCTCAGGTGATAAGCAGCCACCTTGACTTGGCACGTGGTTCAATTTTTTCCACGCAATCTTTTCCACACGGTAAAACTATCATTATTATTTTTCGCTCCTAATCTTCCGGATTAACTATCCCGTGCTGGCCTCCCCCGTTGTCTTTCCGTGTGCTTCTCTGCTCCTCTCCTGCCCGGCCTTGCAGCTGTGGCTCGCGCAGGGCCCCCTGCGCCAGCTGTGTCGCTCTCTGACGGCGCTGCTGCTGGCGCTGCTGCTGAGGCCAGCCTGGCGAGAGGGCCTTGCGCTGGTGGGCTGCGCCACGGATTGCGTCGCGCTGGCGATGGTTGTGGCGGGCTGGTGGCGGCGGTAGGAGGGGTCTGATGATAGTGGCGCGCTGGCGGCGGTGGCCGCGGAGGTGGGCATGCGTGGGCTACTGTGGCCGCTGCTGTTCGACCCGGTGTGTTGAGCGTGATGGGAGCTGGGGAGTGTAAGGGTGCGGTCACGCACATGTGTGTGTCTGTGTGTATGTGTGTATGTGCTTGTGTGTAATTGTTACATAGCTCACTGTCCCTCTTTGGCGGGGGAACGCCACCCGCCCCCTTGGGGTGTGCGTTTGGGTTTGTGTGGGGGTGTGCGTGTTCTAGTGCTCCGGGCGCGTAGATGTGTTGCTAGAGGATTGAGTGGTTGTGGTTGTGTGTCCCAGTTCGGTGAGGGAGTCTGGGGAAGGTGTTTTTCTGACTTTTGAGTCAGGGGGATCTGGCGGGCTTGGTTCACTGTGCCCACGTTTCTTAACCCCCCAAAAAGCTGCGGAGCTTCAGAAGCTGCCATGGGTGAGCGGTTGACATCCTACACTGGGAGCCCAACTAACCAAAGAGTCGCTCCATGGGTTGAACATGGTCTGCGGCTCCCTGCCCAGTCTGCAGCGGTGCGGAGGTAGCAGCTGTCTGCGTCGGTGTGGAAGCAATTGGACAGTTGCTAAGTTGTTACTTATTAGGGTACAAGTATAGGAAGGTAACAATTTCAGTTGTTACTTTGCTCTGCTGAAGCTGTTTCGGCAAATCCCGCCGAAATGCAATGATATGAAACAATGCAGGTGACTTTTAGCGACCTTTCCAGTGAACGCCTCGGCCTTTTAACGGACCTCAAATGGTGGACGCTATAAGGTACCAAAAGCCAATAGAAACAGGTCCTATGTCAAGGTTGAGTTGTATGAGCTCTTAGCTGGCCACTAGTCAGACGTTGGGAGGACATCGAGTAGGGAGGGATATGAGGTTACATCGAGCAGTATACCGTATATGTTATCGTGCATGGTGAGCAGGGGTTTCTGGTTGCTCAGGCTAAACGTTTCGTACGGGTTATCACAAATCGTCGAGCCCCTCGGTGTAGCTTGGTCGCTGGATATTTTGGAATTTTTGGCGAGCTATGAACAAGTAATACAATATACAACTGCGGATTTACTTTCGAAGGACGCGAACCTTTCTTTAACACCTTTTTGCAGATCCATGTGGGACTTTACCTCCATGGCTTAGGATGATCGCAATGAAATGTTGAAGTATGTCGACGTTGGCTGGCATGGTGTTGTCGGCTCAGGAAAGGGTTTGCGAACTTCCTCTTGAACTGCCCAGATAAGCGGTCGGCACAAACCTTCGCATGACAGGAGTTGCCCTCGGTTTCGACTAAAAAGTATATATTGTAACTTGAGTTTCAGCTATTTTGGCTATAGTCAAGGCTTTGTAAGCCGTTTCAGTGTCGAGCGCTAGAGGCTTGCAAATCAGCACCCTCCTAGCTTTCCATCATCATGATCACATCCCAGGACGTCCCGCTCTTAATGGACTTACGGAAGCATACATAGCATACGATTCCCTTACGCTCACCAGCGGCAAACGACGTCTCTAGCCGGTGCACGAGACTGCGACGGTGCCCCTCTGATGGCAAGCACAGGCGGTGCACAGGACTCGCCGCGCTTGCCCTTCCCGCGCAGCGCCAGCGCCCGCAGCGCCCATGGTTTAGGCGCTGCACATGCCTCAATCCGCTCCTGGCAGCAGCAACACCATCACCACCAGTCTCCCGATACTGGCGGTAAGGTGCCGTCACTATTGCCGTTCAGCAGCAGCAGCAGCAGGAAGAAGAAAGCTGGAGGCCCTCTTCTCGCCTGGCCGGAGGATGGCGCTGAGTCCTCGTCCCTGTTGCTACAGCTACTACAGCCGCGGAGCACACCCGCAACACCGGCGGAACGGGCGGCCGGCGGCGGCGGCAGCCCCGGCAGCGGCACCCCCGGCAGCAGTGCTCTGATGCCAGCTTCCGTGCACTCCGACCACCGGTGCGTTAATGGCGTCGGCGGCATCAATGGCGGCGACGGAGGTACGGACCTTGATTTCGGAGCAGGTGTCTGGCGTGCACGGTCTCTTTCGACGACAGCAAGCGAAGTTGGCAGCGAGCATAAACGCCTCCGAGAAGCCGGCGGCGGTGGCGGCGGCGGCGGCGGTGGCGGCGGCGGCGGCTGTCTGGCGTCACCGGCAGGCAGTACGGCTGCGGAGCGGCGGCGGCGGGCCGTAAGCTTAAGCGCCCACAACCTGCACCCAAGGCCCGACTGGTCTCGAGGAGTTAGCCAGACCGCCGGCAGTACCAGTGGCGGCGGTGGCGGTGGCGGCGGCGGCGGTGATGGTGAGTTCTCATCCACAGCTACAGGCTTCCCCGCTCCGACACCCACTCCGACACCCATTGCCGTCAGTCGAGCCTCCGCCGCCACTGCCGCCGTCATCCCAGATGCGCCGCCGCCGCCGCCGCCAACCCTCGTACTTCCTCGGCGTGTACAGACGCGGCTCGGATCAGGGTCGGCGCCGCCGCCAGCTGCGCACCAGGGGTATCCGCCTCCGCCAGCGGTCCCACCGCCGGGCGACGGCCCTGCGGCAGAGAGCCCCATATGTGGTCGTCGGTCTTCCCTGGACCACGGACAGCCTGGCGCTCTCTCCACGTCGGAGCTCTCGGGTGCAGGTACGAGCACAAGACAACCCCTGAGCCGCCTGGGGGCCCCTTCTGTTAAAATCCCCGAATCGGATTCCGATTCCGATTTGGATTCTCCCGGATCGAGACCGGATTCCAAATACGAGTCCGGAGTCGGCGGGACGGGGTCAGCGGGACGCGGTGGCGGTGCAGGCGGCGACGGCGGCGGGGGGGGTGTACGGGACTCGGTATCGGCGGGGTCCCGTACGTACCAGCGCCGCTTGGCCGAGTCGAGCCCTGTGCTGTCAGCCAGTCGGACCCATGGGTCATCCTATCCATCCAGGGTGTCCTGGAGGGGGGAGAAAGAGGGGCGGTCGTGCTCTCAACTGCGTGAAGACCAGCAGCAGGAGCAGCAGCAGCAGCAGCAGCGACTAGTGACCAGAGCGGCAGCAGGCCAGCGCCCGCGGCCGCCGCCGACCCTGCGAGCCGCCATTGGCTTGCTCCCCTCGCCACTGCAGTCGCCGTCGGCGAGCCGGGCAAACTCGGCCCACGACAGTCCAACAGCCGCCGCCGCCGCCACGGCCTCCAGCCCCAACGGCGGCGGCGCCGCCGCCGCCGCTGCCGCGGCGGCGGGATCACCTTCCGACGCCTTTACCGTACGGATGCTGCTCACGAGCCGCTCGCGGCGTTCTATCGAGGTTTCGCCGCCATCAGCGGAGGCGGCGGCGCCGCTGACGCCGACGCCGACGCAACCGCCACCGGGCGCACCGCCGCTTCTTGGCCTGCCGTCTTTTCTCGGTTCGCCTGTCGTACTGGATCCACACCCTGCGCAGATGCACCTGGCGGGGCCGGGAATGCCCGCGGGGCCGTCGTCGCTGCTGCGGGCAAGTTTGAGTCGCTCGACGTCGGGTGCGGACCGTTCCCTGTCGGCGTCGGCATCGTTGACGGCGCTGCTGGCGGTGCCGCCGACGCCATCGAGGGCTTCAAGCCAGGCCGGAATTGCTCTGGGCCAAGGCGGCGCCTCAGACTGCGCTTTGGCTTCCAACTCGTTTCGCTACAGGCCGTCGCCGGTGACGGCGCCGCCGCCGCCGCATCAGCAGCAGTTGCAGCCGTGTGGCGGTGGGGCCGGCGGCGGCGGCGGCGGCGGCAGCCGCCGCTCCGCCAACGGACGTTCCACCAACGGTTACCACCGTTGCGGATCGTACTTTCGTGTACGAGAGGCAGTTCCAGAGGCCGTACTGGACAGCCTTCCCGGTATGCAGGCCGCACGTGGCTTGCCGCCGCAGCCGCAGCATCCAGGTGCCGTACCAGATGAATGGCCGCCGCAGTCGTCGCAGCCGCTGCCGTCCTCCATAACGCCGGGGCCCGTTGCGTACGGCACCAGCGCCAGCTACATGCGCACCTACAGCGGCGGCAGTGGCGGTGCTCCCGCAATTGCTGTCGTACGACGGCACGGTACTGAAACGGCTTTGGGCGCGGCGCTCGTAGGCGGCGGCGGCGGCGCTGCCGCACCGCACATTCGCTACGCAGTAATGCACGCGGCATCCAATAGCAGCAGCCCACAGAGCACCACAAGCGGCGGCGGCGGCGGCGGCGGCGGCGGGGTTACGGCCAACTGGCTCCGACGGGAGGAGGCAATGCCGCCGCCAGACATGCTCCCAATACAGACCTCGGCGCCGCCGTTGGCTCTGGATCATCTACAAGCGCCATCAGCGGTGTCGGCAACAACGCAGCCGCGAACCTCTGCCGCCGCCGCCGCCGCCGCCGCCATCGACGCCGGGGGGACGCGGCGACCGACGCACGGTTTCTGTTGGGGCAGACCTGGAGAAGGAGGACTGGAGCGGAAAGGGGATCTGCTTACGCGGCCTGACGCTGCCGGCGGCGGATTGATGCCGTACGAGGAGCCTTGGTCAGGGGTGCCGGCGGCCGCAGCGATGGCGGCGATGGCGGCGGCTTCGCCGACGCCATCACCGCCGTTGGGTCAGAACGGGCTTGTACGGCAGCTGCCGTCGGATGATGGCAATTGCGGAGGTGTCGCCGTCCGGGCCGCCGTCGATGCTGCATCGCCAGCTCCGACGTCGCCCGTCGCAATCCCAATGGAGCCGCCGCCACCTCAGCGCGACATGCTCCGTACACGATCCAGATCCAGATTGCGGCTGATGCATCCATTTGGGGGTCCGGCGGGGCCGTCTGGTGATGTTGGTGACGGCGGCGGCGACAATGGCGATGAGCACTGCTCGTCCAACGTCGCTGCCATCGAGGAGCAGGAGGCCCTCCTGTCGCTCCTAGGCTCCAGTCGCATGATGAGCAGTGTTTTAACTGCTACCTCCGTACCCACGGCGGCGTCAGATCCAGCCGTACACGGTGTACGGGACCCGCGGTACGATTACCACACGGCACGCTTTGCGAGGATCCCAGAACACAGCGTCACGCTCGTCGGCGCCGACGGGGAGGCCGCCGTCACAGGCGGCACCGCTGGCGGCGGCGACGGCGCCGCTGGTGGCAGAGCAGCGCTTTTTGGCCCCCGCATGGGCGGCATCGTGTTCTCTCCCCCTATACCGGCGGTAGCGAGGTTGGCGGCGACGCTGCTGCGGGTGAACCGCGGTCGTGGCGGCGGTGACGCCAGCGGCGGCGGCAGCAGCCTCCGTCAGACACGCGGCGCAGCGGCGGCGTTCCGCGCTGCCATGCCAGACCTGGAGCTGCTCAGCCGCCGTGTCGGTTCCCACGCCGTTGCGGCCCCCGATGGCCGCGCCGTCAGTATTATGCCCGCCGCCGCCGCCGCCGGCAAAGGTAGCGACACTGTGCCCCTGGAGCTCCCGCCGCCGGAGGAACTCGTCGCAGCAGTGAACGGCCACCAAGTGCCTCTGCCGCCGCCGCCGCCACCGGCGTCGCAGCGTCGCTATGGCGTCGGCGGCTGTGTATGGCGTGGCGGCTTCACCTCGCCGCAGGTCGACGAGCCGTTGTCGTACCTCGTCGCCTCTGCCTCCGCCGCCACCGCCATGTCTAGCGATGAGTCCGGTGTAGAGGATCGTCCGCTGCGCGGTGCGTTGCGGTCGTTTAAGGCGCTGGCGGCGGTTACGTCATCGGCTTCGGCGTCGCCCCCGCCGCAGCCGCTAGATGCTGCGTGCTTGCGTGGCAGCAGCAGTGGCAAAACCCTCCTTCTTGGCGGCCGCTTCAGCAATAACGGCGGCGGTGGCGGCAACGGGCGTGCTGTTCCTTCCCTTACAAGGCATTTATCCGCTCCAGCAAGGCGGTTGACGCTGACGTCTAGCAGCGGCCTTTCCACGGTGGCGGCAGCGGCAGCGGCAGCGGCGGCGGCCACCGGTGGTGGCGGTGGCGGCGCCTTATCTTCGCGCGGGACTCACAGCGCCCGCACTCTCATGCGCAAGCCGTCGTTCATCGCCGCCGGCATAAGGCTCTTGAAGCGCGCCTTCACGCTGGGGCCTTCGTTCGGCAGTAGCAGCAGCAGCCCTCAGGTCGGCGGCGTCGATGCCGTGTCCACGGCGGCGTCGACGACGACATGGTACGCGCACGCCGGTGGCGGCGGCGGCGGTGGCGACGACGGAAACGATTGCCGCCACAGCCCCGGCAGTGCTTGTGTGTTGCGTGTTGTACGACGCACGCCCGACAGCCAACAACTCAGCCGTAGCACGCTGGGCGGGTTCAGCGGCGGCGCTGTCAGTGGCGACAGCCGACGGCGGCTGCAGTCGTCACAGCGGAGCTTCGTGAAGCACTCTGCCGTACTCGGCTGGGTCCAACCGACGCCGGGTCAGGATGATGACGGCTGTGGTGGCGGCAGCGGCGGCGGCGCCGCCGCTGCCGGCGAGTCCGAGGCCGACGGCGAGAGTGCGCCTATGCCCCGCATGGGCACGAGCGGCGGCGTCGCAAGGCTGCACAGCCTGCAATCCCTGCTGGCCACCGGCGGGGGGCAAATCACGTGTGATGCCGTAGTTGCGCTCAGCGCTGGGGAGGGTGGCGGCGGCGACGCCGACGGCGGCGACGCCGCCGCTTTGGTCCGCCGGCGCCTTGCGGTCGTATGCAGTGGACACCACAACCGTCGCGGCTCTTCCGCAGCTACCGCAGCAGATGTCACCACCACCACCACCGCCGCCGCCGCCGCCGCCCCTAACGAGGCGTACGACGACGTCCGGTTGAGCAGCAATGTTTTTGAAAGTGACGTGATGTGGGGCGGCAGCGGCGTCGGCAGCGCTGGCGGTTGGTTGGTGACATCACCAACGACCTCCAGTGACGGCCCCGCTGCCGCCGCCGCCGCCGTCACTGCCGCCGCCGTACAGCGGTCTTTTCCCGCACTGGAGGTCCTTGACGGTGCACGAGTCGGTATGAGTCAGCAGCCGCAGGGCGGCCCGTACGACCGCAGGGCGGCTACAGCTCCGGAATCCGCCACCGCCGCCACTGCCGCCGTCGCGGCCGCCGCACCCACTGCCGCCGCTCCTGCAGTCGCGCCTGTTAGCGCAGGTTCGTTACTCAGCAACGAAATAACACGAACAGCTTCTGGAAGCTGCAGCCCGGTCAGCCCACATCCACCGCTCCTCGCGCGTCTGGGTTCGAAACTCATCGGCCGCAGCACTAAACGCGGCAGTATTGTATTTCCTTTGCAGCAGCAGGACGCCGAAAATGCGGAGCCCTTCGGCCCACCATACGGTCCCAAATCGGAGGAAGTGATGGACGTCGGACCGTCGTAAGCATGGCGGTGGTGGTGTGGATAGACATACAGAAATACATGTATAAATAGATAGATGCATACATGCAGACTCGTGATGTCGGGGGAAAAGAGAGACGAGCGTCTCAAGGTTAAGACCGCTGGATGAAACCCCGCAGCGCAATCCATGGAGCGAGGGAGGGAACCGGAGTGTGATTGGCGTAGTACGACATAGTACGGCATGATAAGGGAGTGCCGGGGTGGTGCTGCAGCCTGCAGGTTTGGGGCTGTGTGAGAGATGAAGGGGCCGGGAAACAGCGACCGGGAAACAGCGACGACACGTTGTATGCGGCTCGTATGCTGGGGTCGCGGAGTGAGGGATGAGGCTGGGAAGATTTTGCCGAGCTCGGCGTCTTGACAATAGTTGCGATGTGGAGCCTCTACGGTTATGGACGCGTGCGTGTGTACATGTGTGTACATGTGTTGGGGAAGGGGGTGGGGGAAAGAGTGGGTTTTCGTTTTAGCTGTGGCTCACAAGGCCCAGCCGACCAGCATGCGACACGACACGTGCCAGGTCGCCAAAATGATGCCTATAATGCGGCATAGAGCTGCCAGTCAGCCAGTCAGTCAGTCAGCCAGTCAGCCAGCTGCTAACCCTCTGCTCGGCAGCTGGGAAGCAAATAATCTCTGCAGGTTAGCGATAAAAAAGATTGTAGGAATAGCTATTAGCGTTATCGCCTTTTGCATTCATACACAATGAAAGATGTTGCACGCGCCGTGGACTTGTTGTTTTTGTTGTTACAAGAGTGAGAGGCTTCTGGCCCCATCTGGAACTCATTTGGACTGTCATATACCTATAGGATTGGATACCATAAGGCACGGTATTGTTTTCGGCATTAATCCCGGTCTCGTTAGGCCCTGGCTCTCGTCCGGCCGGCTTGTCTGTTGGCGCAAACAGAAGAGGGGCTGCGGTTGGCTGAGGGAGGGGTGAGCTGCGCACCTCGCTGTCCTCCCTGCCTGCCTGGCTGCCTGCCTGCCTGGGCTCATCATGCAGTGCTCCTAGTCGTGTGTGTATTGTATTTCCCTCCCCCCGTCACCACGAATTTCAAAAACCACCTTCCGCGCCGCATTGCCTCGCCTCGCGTTGCCCTGACGTGCTGCTCTGATGGATGTGCAATCCATACACACATACATACACACGCACACAGCGCCTCGTACCTTCTCGCGCATGCCTGGGGCCATCTGGTACACATGTGCCGTTGTGCAGTTCTTGTGGTTTTTTTGTTTGTTCTTGTTGTTAATTGTGATAATGATGTTGGTGACAATGTGCGCATCGTCGGAGAATGGAAAGAAGTTTATCCGCGACAAGGTGGTTCTCCTCGCTTTGGATTCCTCGCGGTTCTTGTTGTCGTTGTTGTTGTTGTTGTTGTTGTTGCTGTTGTTATTGCTATATCATGTGCTTGGTTTTTCGGTTTGGAAGTTACGTTGCTCTCCCTTTCCGTAGTAGCTCAGCGCGTGTGCGCATGCGGGTGTACGACAAATGTACGGAGTGTATGCTTGTAACAAATGGCTTGGCGGTTCTGGTGTTAATGGCAGACTGATACGACCTCATATACGACCGTGTCGTACCAGTGTCGTACCGTGCCTGGAAACAACTGCATCCAGCATCGTGGTAGGATTTTGACAATAAGGAATATTTTGTTTGTGCATATCGTATATCTTGTGTACGGCAGCATTTATGGGGCTTGTTAAGGCATGATATCCCTTCGGCAAAAAAGCTGTGAGCGCAACTGAGGCCCTAAATAAGTTGGAGAGGAGGGCGATCGGCTGAGGCTGAGCGCAAGGGTAGAAATATTGTGACAGCAGGTATGGCATATCGCTGTAGAGGCGCACTGCAAGGTTGAGCTTTAATAAACTAACCCTAACTTAAACTAATCCTAACTAACCCGCCACTGAGTCGTACCACCAACCTGGCCACTGTCAGCTGCGGTCCGTTGTGGGCCGCGGCCTGTGGGCGGAAACTCCCTTGGGAGGCGACTGTGTCCCCTGTTGTTGCACCCCCTGTCGGTGTGTACGTATGTATGTATGTATGTATGTATGTATGTATGTATGTATGTATGTATGTATGCATGTATGTATGCATGTATGTATGTTTGTGGCATGGCATGAATGCGTGTATGTCCCCCTATTTCGTCAGTCCGCGAGGTTGGGGACTGTGAGCCACCAAGACCTGACCTAGAGTGCCTTGTAAGAAGCTGTTTGAGTATTTTGCATTTACCTTCACCGCAATCCGGTCCGGCAGGACGTGCAGCTTGCTCGTGGCAGTGCGCAGCCGGGCAGCGCGTCGACAATCACATTACAATTACGAAAGGCAGCAGTTGTTGCTGCTTAATGTCTCTCCATTGCGAACTTCAATGTTATTTATATTCTTATATATATACTGTTTTGCACTTGCACTTCTGGTAAGGTTGCGGATGGCGACGGGAAGCGCCACGTTGGCACCGAAGAGGCCATACCCCGAGCATGATTGATACAATGTTATGATGATGCCCAATTTCCACCTGCGTTCCAAGGTGCAGCGCCAGGCAGCCCTTGGAGGCAAGCGCAAGGACCCCCCATCCTCACCTCGTCTACCAGCGAAACGCGGGAACACAGCTCTGCATTCGTTACAAGCTCCCGCCGGGTAGCGCTTCCACGTGGCCACCACGTCTCCTCCCCAACCCCACCCCAACCCCGCCGGACCTTTGCCTCGATTCCCGCTAGGCTGCCAACCCGGACACCTCCACCCAGGGCCACCCCCCCAAACCGCCTTCGGCCGACTTCAACCCCGCCGCCTTCAGGGCCCAGCCAACTCGCTCCAACGCTGCAACAGGCCAAAGCACACCACCAAGCCCGAGCCCAGCCACAGCCACAGCCACAGCCACAGCCGGCACACCCCCTGTGTGCTCTCTGTCCCACATCCCGGCCGATCTAGGCCCCCACCCGCCCCTGCTCCACAGTCACCCGGGGAACCTCCGGAATGGTGGATGTGATACCACTTAGGCACCAGGAACAGGCAGGTAGGTAGGTAGGTAGGCAGGTAGGCAGGCAGGTAGGTAGGTAGGTAGGTGGGCTGGCGGCCCTAGCCCCCTCGCCCCTACCCGCGCATGTCCCGCAGCGCATTGGCCAGGTGGTGGCTCTCGTCCCGCAGCCAGGTGACACCGCCCTCCGAGGCCCCGGGCTCCTCACCCACCTGCGGAGGGGGGGGACGGGGGGGCCCCGGAGGCCGGGGAGGCGGGGGTTGCGGCACAGGGGGTCGGGAGGGTCCAGGGGACGGACAGAGAGAGTTGGTGCGGGTGCGGGGTGCGGGGGGGAAGGGCAAGACGGACCACTGGCGAGTGAAGCATATATATATATATATATACCATATATATGTATATATATGTATATATACACCAGGAATAGTCTAGGATAGTCCAGGAGAAGAAGACAAATGCTGCAGGGAGGGACGGGGGGGAGGGGATGGTGAAAGAAACCGGGGAGAGAGGGAGAAGGTGAGGGGTGTGCGAGAGTGAGTATACGGCGGGACATGGGGTTGGTTGGGTTGGGCCGGGGCCGGGGGCGGGGCACATTCAGCTACCACGTCCCTCCTTTACAAACCTACACGTACACGTACACGTACACGTACAACTATACACACCCCGAGCCCCCGGCCCTCCACCGTAATAGCTAGTGATAGAACAGTAGTAGCTCCGTTACCAAAGCGCCCACATCAGCACCTCTCTCTCACGCGCACTCCACTTCCTTTACCTCGAAACCCCTGCTGCTCCCTCGCCCAGTCCCCCAAAAGGAGCCGAGTCCCCATCTTGTGAAAAGAAAAACCTTTTTTTCACACAGAGCACAAAAATAACAAAAGTGCCCATTCACTCATTCACTATAGGCAGGCGGCTGGCAGAGGTTAAGGCCTGACTTCTGCTCCCGGCCGACCCAGATTCCAATCCGCCTGCCGGCTCCTCGGGTGATTGAGGAGTGTTGAAATGGGAGGTGGCCCCCCATCATATGGACGATGTAGGACGTGATAATATCAACTTGCGAGCTGACCAGGAACTAAGTTGATGCGCCGTTGATCCGCTAGATTTGGTTGGATGCTGGTGGTGAGTTGCCGAACCCAACGAATACATTCTGAAGTCGGATGGGGTGACGGATTAGGGTGCCCCTCTAACAGGGGAGAGCAGGGACTGCCCCGGGAAAGGGGGCCGCTGGCGAAGTTAACCACCCAGTAACAACATACTCATTCACTCATTCACTCATTCATTCACTCACTTGCGCCCGCGTCCCAGTAGTACTCACCACCACACCCAAGACCTTGAACTTGCTCCAAGCCGCCTCGACATCCGGATTAGAGCTGCCACTGCTATCGCCGCTTGTTGTTTCGTTGCGGGCTGCAGCCTCCAACGCAGCCGCTTCAGCCGCCTTGCTGGGCCCCTTAGTCGTCAGTGCCAAGATACACTCCGGGTGCTGGGATACCTGCGTGTATGTGCATATGCATGTATGCATGTATGCATGTCTGTCTATCTGTCTGTATATATATGTATATGTATGCCGTTCACTTCAGCGCAGTCTACTTCAAGGCAGGGCCTCCACCTCGGGTGACCCCTCCGCATGCGGATCCCGTTCCTAGCTCCGTACACCTCCTCCGGTCCACCCACCCAACCCACATGCCCGGCAGCCCCCAGAAGCCCCCAACACACCACCAACACACCACCAACACCAGCAGCCCCAAAGTCACACATGCAGCCGCGCCCGAAGTGCATTCCTGGACTTCCGCAAACCCACCGAGATGTCCTTCATGCTCGTCAAAGACACGGGCCGCTTGTCGTACGAGTCAATAGTGACTGCCGTACAGGTACAGCCGGCCTCGCAGCTCACACGCGCGGTGCCCATTCCCTGGTAGCTCTCCAGGTAGGCGACCTGAGGCGCGGCAGGCGAGTTTGCATGGTGGGGTTGGGGGTGGGGGTGGGGGTGGAGGGGTGGGGGTGGAGGGGTGGGGGTGGAGGGGTGGGGGTGGAGGGGTGGGGGTGGAGGGGTGGGTGTGGAGGGGTGGGTGTGGAGGGGTGGGGGTGG